GGTATATTTTTTAATAAGATCCCCACATACGCCATGTTCTATCTAGCTAAGGGGGACTATGGGGCTCCAACAAATTAGATGGCTTGTTGCTAACGTCCTCGCTATTTCCAAGCCCATGCCACCAGCTTGCAGCCACCGTCATGACAGTCTACTGCATGATCCCTAAACCCTAAACCCCCAAGTCTCAAAAGGGAGCCCTAGGTTTTTGAAACCCCCCAATTTTTTCCCAGACAGGCCAAGCAATCTGCTCCTTGCCACCGTTGGCTGCAAAAGTGACACTGCGGCTTCCTTGGCTACGCCACAAGACAGAACAGCCCTGTAAAAGGGGTCGCAAGGAAAATACAGGGGATATGTAGGGATATATACGGGTCATACAGAATTGAAATAGGCATCAAATAGGATTATATAGGGGTCATATTGGGACTACATATCAGCAGCCGGCCCAAAAGAGGGCGAAGCCTTTCTCGTCCCTGTATGGTAGGTTCCATAAACAGGGAGCCCAAAATGTCAGCGAACAATCTATTACAATAGTCTAGGGACTCACCAGAAGAGGTCAGGTCCCCAACTTTTGGAGACCCCCATACCTTGGGTCCTGCCCCCACCCGTAAACATTCTATAATAGGAGTCCTATTAATATAAGTACATTAGAATTACTATCCAACTGTTACTGAATGCGTGCAGCACCCGATACATATCCCCCTAATTGAAGCCTAGAGAACCCAGGTTAGGGTTTAGGGTTTAAGGTTTAGGGGTTATCCTTGAAGCCCATACAGCAAGTTGTCCAAGGGCCTCACATGAACGCTTGCCATGTGCAGCAAGGGCTCTCACATGGGTGCCGTTGCCGCAGGAAGTTGTGCCTCTGCTGCCGGAAGGCTTCCCGAAACACGCGCCGAGGGTACATGAAAATCTCCACAAGCTGTTTAGGAATACGATGGAAAAGAAGATGAAAGCTACTATTTAGGGTTTAAGGTTTAGGGCAAACACAAGCCTCAGTAGATCACCTACGAGGAAGGGACCCAATTCTTTGGAAACCACCATTTTCCCTCAATGGACCCAAAACCCTATACCCTCCTAAACCCTAAACCCTAAACAACGGAGTGCAAGGCTCATAAGGCTCCTCACAACCCTTGCCTAAGACACCGCAACGACGGGCCACGAACACCATTCATTGGGAGGACCCCCCACCCTGTAATAGCGGTATAATAGGAATATAATAGGGCCCTAATATTGGGTTTAGGGTTTAGGGGTATAAAAGGAACATTAAAGGAGCCCCCAATATAATCCTTGTCATCCTTTATAGTCACTATTGCCAGCTGGGGTGGGGCGGGGTTAGACCTAAATAATTCAACAAGCATAGCAAGAGGACTTGGAGCGAGAACCAAAGGATCCTCCCATTTGCAGGGTGCCAAATTCTCAGAGAAAAAAAATAGCAATATCAATAACAGCAGCATCAATAACAATCATACAAACAACAGTGCTAATATTGATAAAATAGAAAACAAGAAGAACAAAAATACTAATAACTAACAATGGTAACAGTACTACCAACAATAATCACAATGACAACAACACTAATAACAACAATGGCTGACCGCTAAAACCTAAAACCTGAATCCTAAACCCTAGAACCCTTACTGTTGCCTAAACCCTTGCTATTGCTGCTATTACTACTGTTTCTCAGGTGCCCCTGACCACTTTGCCTGTAAGCCTGATAGAGAGTTACCAACTGCGCAGTCCAGAGCTGGTGTTACAGAACAGTCTCAGAAAACCCTGAACCCTGACCCTAAACCCTAAACCCCCTTTAGAGAGGTTAAAGGGATATATAGATAGGGACGATGTCGGGGGTTAGATACTTGTTATGTAGGGATTATGTAGCGGCTAATATAGGGATAATAGAGGGGTTCTATGGGGTTCGATAGAGGTTTTGTAGGGATATTACCCAATAATGGAGAATCGAATGGAAAAGAATGTTGGAACTCTACGATCTGATCTGACAGGAATTTCTGCAAATCCAACGGCCTGTAGTTGCGAGCATAGGGTTTATTTCCACGCCGTGGGCAGTACAGACTGCGCCCACCACTCAACACTTCCGTAGGGCCACGAGTATTTCTCCAAGCTCTTTGACGGCTAAAGCTATAGACCCTCTTCGAAACGGCTGATACCCCTCTCGAGCCCCTGTACAACCCCTGAATACCCAATCTCCATCCGAGAGGCAGTCAGACCATGGGGCCCAGTCCTGCTTTAGAGTTTAGGTTTAGGGTTTAGACTTGCGGTTTAAGGTTTCTTCTAGGGTTTTGGGTTTAAGGTTTCTACATGAGCTATAGTCAATATCTCCCCAGGAAATCAATGGACATGGGATCCTTGTTGGGGATTATATTGGGGAGTATACTAAACTATAAAAGGGAGGCCTATGTCCGAACAACCCGCCACAGTGTAACCTGCCAACTAAGTCGACTGAACCTCTAGGTGGTCCAAATCACGCAGCTTCTGCCGGGACGTGTTGGGGAGTCTGTGGTACTCTTGAAAAACGGAATCCTGCGTTGGGTTTAGACTTTAGGGTTCAGGGTTGCATGACTTAACTTGAGCATTCTAGACTAGTCAGACTACCACAATATGCAAACGCGCAAGCTGCTTAATTGCGGTCAAAAGGAGAACCTCGCATCAACCGTATCACAAGGCCCTGTAAGGGCTGTTGTAGGCCCTGCAGGCCTTATTACTAGGATTTCAAAGAAGGTATTGTGTGAAGGTCGGGGGTCCAAGGTCTGAGGTCTACTTTGGAAGCCAGTGCCTACCCAGTCCGCGTGCATCAAACTTGTCGTGCTGAACTGAATGGCTGGGTTGGCCCCAAATATTAATATATAGGGTCCCTTATTAAAGCCATTAGGCAAAATATTAAATATCCCAGGGGCCTACCCAGATGGGGGACGGGCAGCTGTGCTCCGAGAAGCATGCGGCAGTTTCACAGAAGGGGGCCAGCCGATTTTCGCCAAGAATGACCACGTCCCTGAATCGACTAATACCCAAACATATCCACAATCATTAGGGTTTAGGGTTTAGAGTTTAGGGTTTAGGGTTTAGGAACTTAAATTAAGTTACCACAATGGGTATATATAGTAAATAGTAGGGTTTCCCCAACATAGTATCTTAATTTATCTTGGGTTGGGCCCCCACCCACTAATAGTGGTAGACTAGGAATATATGAGGACCCTAATATAATTACCATTACCTCTGGTGGTCACTATTAGTGGGTGGGGGCCCAACCTAAAACATATCCACAATTTTGAGAACCCGCGAAGTGCTTTGATTTGATGGATCCCTCGCAAAATGGAAGCTTTCTCCTGATTGGGAGTCCCTCCCAAAGCAACTGGTCACCTCTCTCCAATAACAGACCCCCCCATCCCAGCTAATAATGAAGGTTTTCCCTTAATAATTGGTGGATTTTGGTTGGGGAAGGCGTTACTCAACATAACCCCTATGTAGCCTCTATATTATCCCTATATATCCCCTCCCCTGCGGTATCCCTAAACCCTAAACCCTAAACCATATAGGCTCTGTGCCATGAGTAGCTCCTCAAAGACGCAGTCCATAGGGCATGGCGGTAGATCGCACGGCGCCTCGTCGTCCTCAAAAGGAGAAAAGTTAGCGTAGAAGGATTGGAGCGTGCCCTCAGCTACTTGTAATCACTGTCATCCCCTCATACTAATGTTAATAGCACGCCCGCGGCGAATCTTAAATATTCGCCATAAGAGACCTTGCACATTGGGGGACATATGCAGTCTGAGGGGTCGGAGGGTGTATTCACATTACCCCAATTTTACTTTGTACTTATTTGTACCAGGACCGGACAAGCGCTTAGCCTTAAACCCTAAACCCTAGATGGTCTCAACTTATGTGCCGGCTTTCCAGAAGGAGGTCCATGTGAGCTATAGTCTGAGCTCCTTAAAGGGGGGGGGTTAGACTACTACAGGTCATTAAGAAGGAAACTAGGAGTTTTCACTATGACTCATGTGTAGATGTGAGAACATTGCGCATCATCTCACGCGAACCGTCTGGATATTATCGCCTCTAGGAATGGAACCGACAACCCCGGCCCCAAATAACGAATATGGTTCAATATGCCTCTGTTATAATAAATGGCAGTATATTGGGAAAATTCATGTTCAGGTGCCAGGGATTTTTTTGTCGGGGGATGGAATCGGACAACCCTGCCCGTCCTCAGTGCCGAAGCAAACATGTCCGCCATGGGACTCGTAGTGCGCACGCTTTCGGCTCCTGTCGATGGGATGTTGCGCAGCCCCATGTGCTAAGACGCCAGTCCAGATGTTACCTCCTCGCCCCGACACCGACATTCTGACCAAAAGGGACAACCGCTTCTACGCTGGAAGACAGGGGAAAGCCAAACAACAGAAACGCTTCTAACTTGACAAGTGCACTTTGCGGATGTCAGAAGATGACAAGACAAGCAATCACGACCGCCCGACTATATCTCCGAACAGGCTCATGCAAATTTCTGTTCCTCCAGCACAACACAGAGCACCCCTCTATTCAATGATATTCAATGGAGAATCTGAGCAGTGGTCTGTGAAGTCTTGGATCTCTAGCCATTCAAATCCCGAAGCGGAAGAGGCGTCCCTGAACCCAAGGCATTTGCGCATGTCCTGGTTAGCACGCCGAGGCCACAGGAGGCAGAACATGCGCTCCAGGCGGTCCAGTCCTTTCTTTCTGGGAGGTGCTCCGCATGATGAATTTGGGCACCCGCATCTTACTATTCAATGTTTGGAAAGGGACTTTCAGCCAGGCATGCTAAACTTTGGTGAGAAGGCATTAGGTCGTGTATGTGCAAGCTTTCTATGGCGTGTAGGTATACTTGGAAACACGAAGTGGTTGGAACCTGCATGGATTACTACACAGTGTTCTCGCGCATTGCTGATCTACTGCACAGCTACAGTAAGTAATGCCGAAAAACAACTTGCAGCAATCACAGTGAACCCTGTTGCTTTTAGCAGTTCAATGCTGGCAGACAGCTCCACTACACGCTTCATTGCACTGGCGGCAGCTTTTGGCCATTTGAATGCTTGGCTAAGGAGGGAGGGTAGCCTAGCTATAGTAAGAAGAACATGTAATAATAACAATGGTGAATAATAGCGCTAAAAGGAATAATGGCAGAAAGCACCAGATTAATAATGGCAGAAATGAAATTAAAACATGGTAGTAATGATGGTAGCACTAGAAAGGATGATAATACAATTGACAATAATGACGGTAGCAATGGGAAAACATAATGGTAATAGTTCTGGTTATAGTTGTAGCAATGGTAGTAATAATGGTAGCAATAATAGCAAGAATAAGAATAATATTAATGATGATCATAGCTGTAGCAATAATAGTAAGTCGCGACGACGACGACGACGACGACGACGACGACGATGACGATGACGACAACGACAACAACAACAACAACAACAACAGCAGTCATAACAATAACAATCATAATAGTAGTAATACTTGCAGTAAGCACAGCCATGATAATGGAGAGCTCATCTGCCAGCAAGAAGCTTCCCAAAGGCAGTCGACAGGACAATCTGGAAGCCTTGCATAGCGGACAGAATCTGGGTTTAGGGTTTAGGATTTGGAGTCCTGACTGATCATCCGAATATTGACCCAATGCTTTTGCAACGAAGCATGTCGACACACACATCCCAAGTGAAAGAATTGAAGCTTGACTAAAACGTTCCTGGGGTTACTCTACAAGACTTAGTACAAGGACAAACCCTGAACCCCTAAATCCTAAATCCTAAACCCAAGCTGGTTGAGCGGGTCAGTCTGGCCATTCGAAGTATACTCAGCTTCCTTTTCTTCCCATGCTTCTGCCGAGCTGCGTTGGGCAATCCATGCTCTGAGAGTCATCACCTTCGCATTCCTTGGGTTAGGGTCTAAGGGCTTAGGGGTTCAGGGGTTAAGATGCTGTAGCAAACAGCGGTGCATTCACCCAAAAGCTGGCAAGACTTCTCTGAACCCGAAGCTTTTGACTCCAAGCTAGAAACCTGTTACGTCCTAGGCATATCGCGAAACACTACATTATCTGTAAAAGTCATTGCAAAGGACAACAGTATCTTACCTGCGCCTGCATAAATAACTTGGACTTTCTCTACCTACTTTGCATCCTGTTGCTGGCCAAAGCTTCTACTCCTCCATTCTGCGCTTCCACCTTCTCGCGAGTTCGCTTGTGGACTCCTGACGACGTGGCTAGGCAGTTGACAGTCTTCATTGCTGCCAGCAGCCTAGAGAAAGCTTTCAGCTTTGAGCATGGGAACTAAAATTGCAGGAAAACGCTTTAGCACAACCAAGTCTGTACGAACCTTACCATTCAAGTCCTAGTTGACTTCAGCTTCAGACGGACCCCTGATGGCCTGTTCCGCATTTGCTGGTGCACGGTGCCCAGTCTTCCCAGTCCTCGTAACAGAGTCGAAAAATCCACGCACTTCCAATTGCAACGCACCGGTAGCAAAGCGGCATCTGAAAGGCTTGACAAGCCCAATTCTGCAACTTCAAGGCATGTATGTGTCTTGAAGCCTATGGCAATCATAGTAGTAATGATGATGATAAGAAATTTCAATAAGATTAATCATGGCAATAATAATGCCTGTAAGAATGGTAGTAAGACTAGGTTCCCGAGCAACCCCATAACAATAAGGGTACCCTTTTTCCTATTATGCAACTTTAATAAGGAGACACCGGAATAAAAAGGGAAAAAGGGTACTAGTGGGGTCCCTTCAAGACTAATCATCTCAACTTGCAATCGGCCTGTCCTTCCACCGACAGTCCACGGGGCAAGGCCGCTCAGTGCAGTCTTGCGTTTCGTCTAGCGAGCCTGGCTAGGAGGGTTGCTGTGAGGGAACTTGATTCAAGTTACTAAGTTATTGCGGAAACCATGGTAGCTACTATATATATTTTTATATATATAATTACATATACCCATTATGGTAGCTTAATTTAATTTCTTAACAGCAACCCAGTAGAAGGGCTTAGAGTTTAGGATCTCTCTGGCCAGGATTACGCCTTGAACATCAACTATACCCGAACAATGAGTCTGCCTGTTGCCGGCCAGTTTTCTTGTAGCTGTCCACAATTCTCGTTGCTACTACTTTCAAATTGGAGCTAATAGTAATTACTATCACAACTGATATTACTATTACTCTAAATCCTAAACCCTACATAAGTGTTTCCATTTTATTCCCCATGATCCCAATATAACCCCAATATATACCCTATATTATAACCCTATATAATCCTAAACCCTAAACCGGATGCAGACCTTGACATGGCACGCCGCCGTTCTCCGCGCCCTGGCGCACGGAGCGGCTTCGTCCCTGGGTGCCTGGAGGGCGCATGGCCAATTTGGCCATGGCTACTGCCATGGAAGCTTGACAACTGAGATGATCCCTTGTAGGAGTCATTGCGCGTCAGTGTGAAGGAGGCTCATTATTTCGGGTCTCAGATTGCTTGAAAACCACCACATAGTCGGATGCAGCAGGTTTCCCACTTGCCTGTGCCACAGGTGGCGCTGCACTGCTTCCAGGCTGTCCATTCGTCATACCTGAAGCGCGATCACGAAAGTACACTAGTTACTGCAACTTGTTGCATGATTGATGAAGCGAGCTGTGCAGAAATGGCAAGCAAGACAGGAGGAACCACTCCAAATGCGACCTGTAATGACTCCACTCCTTTCTACCAGCCAGTACTACATGTACCATTGTCTTAACTCCTAGTATCAACTTTAATAATGTAGTAGTCCCCTGTATAATCCCATATATAACCCCCCTTTAAGGAGTTTAGACTGTAGCTCAGATAAAGAGAAGTTGGCGTATGCAGAGTTAGAATCTTGAGCCAGGTCTGAAACAGCATTGCAATCCGGCCCTAATGTAGACCCATGATTATAAACCCCCTCCTTTTGAGAGCCTTGTAGGGGTAAAATAGTCATGTAGGGGGAATATAAGGGTTATATAGGGATAACGGAAAAGAAAATGGAAACTACCATTCAGGGTTATCAATGAACCCCTCCTGTTAAGGGCCTAGATATTAGGATCCCTATTATAATCCCTATTAAGGGGAGGGGGTTTATTAATCAGGGGTCTAGGTTACTGTGGATGGAGGACATATTCCACCACCTTATATACTTGTACACTATTTTCTGGGGATCCCAAGTGAGCTATAGTCGAAACTCCGACTCCTAGTATACCCCTTAACAACCCCTATAATCCTTACCTATATAGCCCCCTTGCAGGAGTTTAGACGGTAGCTCAAGTGGTGCGAGATTTCCTCCATCCACCGTAGCATGCCACTGAGCGCCGCACAGGCAATCGACTGGACACTCCGCCTCGTTGCCGGCTAATAGCACTGAGGTTTAGGGTTCAGGGTTTGAAGCCATGGCAGGGGCCCATACTTCTAACCTTAGTAATAGGCAAATCAGCCAAAAGGTTTGGGGCTTCATTAGGGTTCGCAGGATATCAGGGACTGTAGGGTTTAAGCCCATTGCAGATGATGATTTGGCGGTTTCCATAATGAATTGGGAGCCCAATAGAGACCTCAAAATACTATACTCCCTGAATTTGGGAACACCCCGTTTGGGATCAAGACAAAGACCTGTGTCATACAGCCTCTACAGGCTGAACCTAAACCCTGAACCCTAAACCAGACAATTCTCATTACCATTGTATTTTCCTGTTACTGCTATTATTGTTATTGCTACTATTATTTCTAGTATTACTGTTATTACAATATCAACCCTAACTAAGAATGAGTCCCCTGCATTTTCACAGTCACGCTTCTCCTCGGTCTCTCCAGTGCAGTCCTTCGCAGGGGTCAACACTGCGGGAGCTGCCCATGACATGTCTGCAATGGTTTAGAGTAGAGTTTGGGGAGCTGCGGAATCTGCGTCCTTGCCACCATAAAGCTTTTCCGTTTTGACCTGAGGCAGCAATACTCTCCTCCATGCCTATGGTATATCCAGCAAATCCCCACAGAGTCTTGTTACGAGTAGAATGAAATCACCGATTTACCCCTAAAATCTTTCCCTACAGGCAATCCGTATGCCAAGCGCCCGGCCATGCGTGTGCGCGAGGATTGGCCTTCACCACAGCTGACGGTGCAGACGCTCCAGTCCTGGGGCGCACAAGGCTTCAGTCAAAAACTCTAAGGGATTTGGAACCCCAGTAGAAATTATAATTTCAGCTAAATATTAGGATTCTAGGTAACAGAAAATACAAATTATTTTCAGGAACCTTGTAGAAAAAAGATCAACCAAGTGCCTAGAGACTGTGTGCGTAAACGCATCAGCAGTGGCAGTGGTGGCGGTGGTGCCTTGCAAAAAATCGTTCTGTTGAGCGGTGGCGGCAGCAATAGTAGTAGCAGCAGCAGCAGGAGTAGCAGCAGTAGTAGAAATGAGACTACTGATACTAGTAATAACAATAATAGTAGTTAGTAGTAGCAGTAGCAGCAGCAGCCCCAGCAGCATCAGCATTTACGGCGGAAGGACTAAGAACGAGAGCAGCGCGGCTACTAACAACAGCAGCTTCAGCATTGGAAGGAGGCAGGACCACCTCAGTCTGAAGGATACTCATGGATACTCAAAATCAGAAGTGTAGGTCGGTTCAGGACTGAGCACCATCCACGATCTAGTCGAAGACAGCTGCTCAGACAAAGAAAAAGCTGCATCGTGCCACAAAGGCTAAGTGCGGGTCCAGCCAGTCAACCCACTCGCAATCAACAGGACATGTAGGCAGGCTGCAGTACCTTGCACGATCGCACGCCACAGGCTTGCACGGATAGTGTGCGAGCTACGTTCATGAAACGTCATAGGGATGATGTTGATGATGATGATAATGATAATGATAATGATGATGATGATGATGATGATGATGTAGGAGAGGCAAGAAATCCCGCTTGAAGGGGCCTCGAGTCCTAAAGCATGTGCCACACAGAGCAAGTGAACGCGGACTTCACGAGTCTGCCTTGCAATCCACTGTGTTGGGACATGGGTGCTGCCGGGTAGCTTTTTCTCGTACAGCAAGTCCTGCCAGCAATTCCATGCCTTGTTGCTCATACATGCTCATCCATCTTAGGTCAATGCCAACCTTGTAGTAATAGCCCGAAAAATATGGAGTTAATAGGACCTTGATACACCTA